TGTGTGTGTGTGTGTGTGTGTGTGTGTGTGTGTGTGTGTGTGTGTGTGTGTGTGTGTGTGTGTGTGTGTGTGTGTGTATCATTGGGGCATCACCCCGGCTCGGGGCACAGGGCTGGGGGGGCAGAGGTGCTGCCTCCTGCCCCCAGCCCTGTGCCCGCAGGTGCTGAGCTGGGCTGAGAGCAGCTCGGACTTTGTCATCCCCCTCTACTGCTTCGACCCGCGGCACTACCTGGGCACCCGCAGCTTCGGCTTCCCCAGGACGGGGCCACACCGGCTCCGGTTCCTGCTGGAAAGCGTGAGGGACCTCAGGGAAACGCTGAAGAAAAAAGGAAGGTACAGCAATACCAATAGCCCTTTTTTTTGGTTTGTTTTCCTGATGGTTTTCTTTCTCTCTTTCAGTCCGTGCCCGTGCTGTGAATGCTCTGGGCTCTGTGGATGGCTTGTTTCAGGGAGCCACAGCTCTTCTCTGGGATGCAAGGTCCCATACGCAGCCCCTGCTCAGCTGGGATCTGGAAGGGATCCATCCAGACCAGGGGCCATTCGGGGTTTTGCTGCCTTGAAGGCAGGCATCCCTGCTGGGCATCCTGACACCTGGAGGCATGAACAGCAGTTTTCCAAGGTGCAGGCTGTGACAGGAGCCACTGGGGTGTGTGTCCTTCCCACTCCCTACCAGGTTTTCCTTAGGAGTTGGCTTGAAACAGACCAGCGTGGATCCTGACTTGTGGCAGTTTGCTCATGCCCTGTCCTGCTGCACCTGATCTCTTTTTAGGCTGAACTGTAGGAAGGGGAATCTCCAGGGATTCCTTCTTCGTTATGTCAACCATAACTGGGGTACAGCAGGGCCTGCAGGTCTGCATGCTTGGGAATGCTGTTACCAGACAACATCAAGTGTTGCTTAGCAGGACTGTGTGTCAGGCAGCCTGTTGTCTCCCAGAGCAGCATAACAGTGGTAGCAGAAGCAAGAGGAGCAGTTCTGGGTTGTCTGTGCAGTGTGGACTCTGCAAAATGTGAATGTTACAGGAGTCTGAAAGAACTAATCAGTGGGTATCTGCACCCACACCCTGCAGTGAACAGATCCAGAGCTGCTTGAATGCTGCTGTGTTCTTACCAGGGGCTGGTCTTCTGCAGTGAGAGATGTGTGGTTCTAAAGAGCCATGTGAAAACCTGGGCTCCCTTTCCACAACTGTGAAGTTATCTTATTAATGTAGTGCCAGACAGAACTGTCCTCCACCTCCAATCTGTAGTATTCCCTGTGGGCAGCTTGGTCTCTGCTTTTCTGTGGGGTGTAAGGGGAACAGTCCTTTCAGCAGCACCCCTTGCTTCTGCCTTCTTCAGACCCAGCCCATCTCTGAAGAAGCTTTTCAGTTCTATTTAAAATTAATTCTGGCAAAACCACTATATTGCCTTGAAGAAATTCTTCTGCACAGACCTCTGTTAGATGACAAAATAGTGTGTTGTGTGAGTGAAGTGAGGGACACAGGGAAAGGGTCAGGGTCATGTGTGAGGCTCTTCACAACTTTCTCATCACAGCTTCTCTTTTGGTGTCCTGGGTACACAGCTGGGCAGTGAGATGAGGTTGCAAGGTGGGAGGGAAGTTTTGTTGACACTGGTACAAACACAGATCATTCAGAGGAAAGAATTCCTCTGAATACTCCTGCATGAAAGTGGAGAGGGGTTTGCCCACAGGACAGCACTACCCGTGGAGGGGGTTGAAAGAGGAATCAGTTCTTGAACCTTGGCCTCAGTGTGTGAGGATGAACAGAACTGACAGGTTTAATCTTAGGTAACAGCTGGGCATTCTGCCCAGTCATCCTTTCTGAGGCATCCGGGGTGGTAGGAATGTGTTTGACAGAACTCAGCCTCAGAGGGTTACAGACTGTGTTCAGTGGCTCCTCAAAGATGTAGGCTGGTCAAACCCTGCCTGTGTGCTTCCACATGCTGTGTGTGCTCAGTAGAAAACTAAGTACATGGGTGCCTAAGCCAGGACTAGGGCCTTCTGTACACATAAATAACAGTAACACCAAACCTAATTGAGGCCAATATTCTGTGTTTGCAGTACCCTGGTTGTGAGGAAGGGGAAGCCAGAAGACGTGGTCTGTGATCTGATTACTCAGGTGGGCTCTGTCAGTGCTGTGGCTTTCCATGAAGAGGTAAGGGAAGTATTTGAGTGACATTGTTAAAAGATGGTAAGGTTGTGAAGGTTTCTTCCACAACCAAACCGTGATGCAGACACTGTGTCTTCTTTTATCTGTGGTATTGCTTACTTTGGGGAAACTGGCTAGGTCCTGTGATGGGGAGGGTGTAGGTGTGTGGGGGGAAGTCCTTGCTGCTATTTGTGATTGATCACTTGCAAATGCTGTGTCTTGAGGAAGAAGAGTTTCCAGCAACTGGCACTTTAGGTCAGCTGAGTCTTTTTCTCCTTCTGCTTGCATCAAGCTGCCTTTTCCTGGTGCCTTCCTTGCACTGGCAGCTATCTGCCCAAGGGATGTTAAGACCCAGTAACCCTCAGTGGATTTCTTTTACATCTACTTGTCCACTCACCTTTCCAGCCCATGCAAACTTAAAATACCTACAGTGTCCTGCATCAGGGAGTTCCTTATGTTGGCATTGGCACTACTAACAAAGAGTGGAAACACTTGTTGGGTTTGACAGAGGGAAATACTCAGGGATTGTCTGTGTGTACCTCTCTGGAAGGATAAAGCTAAATGTGGACATGAGGGAGGAGGGCAAGACCAGGGACCAGGGTCTGTGTGCATGTGGTGGCTGAGGCCATGCAGCCATAGCCTGACTGCATTTTGCTCTTCCCTAGGCCACGCAGGAGGAGCTGGATGTGGAGAAGGGGCTGTGCCAGGTGTGTAGTCAGCATGGGGTGAAGATTCAGACATTTTGGGCATCCACGCTGTATCATCGGGATGACCTTCCCTTCAGGCCTATTGCCAGGTGGGCTGCTCTGTGGTACCACTTGTCTCCTCCACTCTCCCCTGTGTTTCTCACACCAGTGAACTGCTCAGGAGGGATCTTGGTCATCCAGTCCCGTAGGGAAGGGACCCACTAGTCCATCTGCATTCACAGAACAGTGCTGTCATGCTCCTACACATCATGGGGAAAGGGCACATTCATCCTTTTCTGCTGGTAGGGTTTAAGCTCTGATTTGCATCAAGCCACAGGGTTTGTTTTGACCATTTATTGAGGAACTGATTTCT